AGCACTAACTAGAACCCTACTTGTATAATAGCGTTAATGCTTATCCTTATGGGGGGTCTCAGGAAACCATAAATAGGGACCGGACTTCTCCAGGGTCAGGACTATGCAAAACCATCAAAGGATCCTCTAAGGGGAGAAGCTCACCACAGAAGCCGAAGGTATGGCAATATATTGTAGTATTTATTGTAAATAGTTAAAAGCAATCCATGTGAATACAGCAAAGAGTTAAATGCATAAAAGCATACCAAAATGGCAACTGCTCTGAGCTCCGGCCGCGGAGACGTGACGTCAGCACGTAAGGCTCCATCCAACGCGTTTCGTGTGCATGCATATCTTCAGGGGCATGCTTACACTTGGCACTTCTGTGACCTGCAGTGCCACGGACTATCCACTCTGTCATATTCAGAAATTTAGAGTTTTTTACGATTTTATGATTCTATGCGATCTGAGATGTTTTATTTTATTTATTTCTCCCGAATATTGTATGAACACTTATATTCACATAAGCACATTATGAATGCATTTGTCACTTATGCGTTAGCGCTGCACTTACATTTGAATTGATTACTGTGGGTTTGTTACCTTGCCTTTTGTGCTAACGGCTACCATATTATCTGCGCTTGCCTCATATTTTGTGTTATAAGTAGATGAGGTAGATTGGGTAGCCTATAGGCTCTATCCACCACCAGTTCCTGATCAGGGGTGCCTGGCAGGAGAGCGGCTATGAGCTGCAGGATTTAACTCCCCAATTCAGCAGGCGGAACCATTTTGGCTATTCCCTTGAACTTCATGTTATTCCTCTGGGACCTGTCCTCTAAATCAGCCAAATTTAATATGAGTGGTTTATTTTCCTCCTCCATTTCATTATGAACATCTACAAGCTCATCATGGGCAGTGGCAAATTCTCCCATCTTATCTTTTACATGGCTGACTCTTTCCCTAATAGCTTCCACATCCGCTTTAATTTGGGTCATACAAGACAACATGTCCCTGTGGAGTGATCCTCTCAATGATACTAACAAGTCCTTCAATTACATATCTATGATAGGTTGCCCTGTGGTTGGGAAATCATCTATAAACTCCACCAGTTTCCTAGTGTTGTCTAATGGGCAGACATTCAGAGAGTGCTCAACTGTAATTGTTTTACTTTTCTTGGATTACATTGAGCTTCTCAGCTGTGTTTCTCTTGGTGTGGAGCGGCTTCTGCTGGTCTGCTACTTGGTCCTAATCAAGGATGTGAGTGTTTAGTCTCTGGCAGTCTATGAGGAGAGCCGCTCACTGAAGGAGCAGGAGACATGTGAGCTGCAGCACCATCTTGGAATGCAGCAGTGCATGTCTTAGAGAAGAACTCGGTCAGCTTGCGGATTCGAGCGTGTGTTTTTCATTTTCCCATTGTTCCCAGTGGATCCAAAGGGAGGTTAAGATGAATGCTTCAAGTGAAGTTGGTCTCCCACATCACTGTAAATAACTGTAAGCTGCCATGTGCACCTGGAGCTTTCTTTCTACTCGGCCATCAACTCCAGCTGCCAGCCATGCCCCCAACAAAAAGCCATTCAAACACCAGCAACCAGAATATATAGCAAACATGAAGGTATAAAGAAACTATACACCAAGTGATAAAAATACTTAACAGCCTAACTAACTAATAGAAAACCTACTGTAACTAGCAAACTAACTATAGTATAATATATACAAACAAAAGAGAAGCATGGATCGACAGGGTAAAACTGGGGGTACAAGGAACAGTCAGGGTAGAAAAACCAAGGCTGAGATCAGGAACAAGGGGTGCAGATATGGGGTAGCAAGGTACAGGATATAGGTATAGGGCAGGAACAGGATCTACACTCAGGATAAATCAGCAAGCATATATCTGGCTGGTCGGCAAAATACTGAAGCAAGAGGGATGAGTAGAAGAAGGACTATATTATTATTATTATTATACAGGATTTATATAGCGCCAACAGTTTGCTCAGCGCTTTACAATAGAACGGGAGACAATACAGCAACAATACAGTTCAATACAAGAGGGAAAGGAGGGCCCTGTTCCTTGGGGCTTACAATCTATATACCCTCCCAGCTGCCAGAATCAGGTGAAGACTGATTACTGAGATCTGATGGCTGCTAGGAGAAATCCATTATGGACACTTGAACTACAACCTTTTGCTCTGGACCCACAGTCCCACCAGCAGATGATCCATGTCCTGAAATTACCATAACAGTACGTTTAATTTTGATCCAATTAGTTTATTTGTGTGATACACAATATGCAACGTTTGGTACATAATCAGTCCAAACCCGGGAAAAGTCTCACACATGCATTATCCCAAAGCTCAGGAGAAGTAGCAGAATGTGTTCTTGGTTGTATGCCCATGCAGTGTGTGAAAAAAATATCTTTACATTTACAGCTTTAACTTTTAACTATTTAAAAAAAAAACATTTTAATTTTCTTTTGGCATTTTCCAAACAGGACAAACTTTCAGGGTGTAGCCCCCTCAAGGTCCAAGAAGTAATACTTGGACCTTGAAGAAGGGGGTACACCCTGAAAGTTTGTCCTGAAAAATTGTATGTTAGTGCAAATTAATTGTTTTTGTTACAATTGCACTAATATGGCTACTATCACTTCGAGCAAGATAGGTAATAAAAAAATTAGATGTGTAATTTATGCCCATTGAATGCCTGAAGGTGTTCCTTGGACTTGGAGTCTCTTTATGTGGTTAGGCTGTGAAAGTCTCACATATGTGGTAACGCCATACATGAGAGGAGTAGCAGAATGTGTATTGGGGTGTAATTCTAAGTATGCCTGTGCTGTGTTTTAGAAGTATCTTATTAATTGACAATTTTATGTAAAAAATATATTTTCATTTTCTTTCCTGCATTTTCCAAACACATGGCAAAAAATTTAATTTTTTAAAAGACTCATTATGCTTTTCAGAAATGTTTGGGGGTGTTTGCGTTCCAAAATGTGTTTATTTTGTGGGTGTTTCTCCTGTATTGGCTCTTCAGGAACTTAATAAATGTGATAGGTAGACAGGAAATTAGACACATAATTTATACTGCTTGAAAACCAAAAGGTGTTCTTTGGATTTTGGGTCATCTATACAGCTAGGCTGTTCAAAAACCACACACATATGTGTCCATACTCAGTAGGCATCACAGAATGCGTTATGTAGTGTGTGAGAAAAAGCTTGTTAAAATGTCAACTTTGAGGAAAGAACAAGCAATTACAACCTCAAAAACACTTTCTATGCCTCTTACTAATTACCTTGGACTGTCTACTTTCCAAAAAAGGTGTCATTTGTACTGTCCTGGCATTTTAGGGTCTCAGGAATTGAGATAGGCAGTCAGGACATCAGGAATGTTAAATTTTTAAATACTGTATATAGTAGTTTGTAGACTCTATAACTTTCATATGGATTAAATAATATACACTGCTTTGGGTTATTTAAAAAAAAAAAGTAGCAGAATACATTTTGGTCTAAATTTCAGAGGAAAGATTATTTAGTCACAGCATTTCGTAATAATACTATGTGGTCTTTTTTCCTTTATTTAGCAAAGAGATAAAAAAAAAAAGCAGTGGTTATTAAAGTCACTGAAAAGAAATCTCTGTTTCAAAAAATTATATAAAATTAATTTGGGTACAGTACTGCATGACTGAGTAATTGTCATTCAAAGTGTGATAGCTCTGAAAATTGAAAAATGGCCTGGACAGGAAGTGGGTGAAACAGTCTGGTCTTGAAGTAGCTAAAGACTGTACAGTTGTGTTCAAAATAATAGCAGTGTGTTGAAAAAAGTGAATACAGCTCAAATTCCTTCTAATAGCCTTTATTTCCATACACACAAATGCATTAGGAACACTACACATTCTATTCCAAATCAAAACATGAAGAAAAATATATCAAATTTGAGTTGTTCCTCTAAACAAATTGAAGAAAAGTGAATATTAGACTGTTCAAAATAATGGCAGTTTGTATTCTTCTTTACAAACTCAAACATTCACTATATAAACTGAAAAATGTTTGAAGATTTTGCTTTCCTTTGAATCACTTAATTAATATTTAGTTGTATAAGCACTGTTTCTGAGAACTGCTGTACATCTGTGTTGCATGGAGTCAACCAACTTCTGGCACCTTTGAACAGGTATTCCAGCCCAGGATGATTGGACTACATTCCACAGTTATTCTCTATTTCTTGGTTTTGCCTCAGAAACTGCATTTTTTTATGTCACCCCACAAGTTTTCTATTGGATTAAGATCTGGTGATTGAGCTGGCCACTCCATAACGTCAATCTTGTTGGTCTGGAACCAAGATGTTGCACGTTTACTGGTGTGTTTGGGACCGTTGCCTTGTTGGAACACCCATTTCAAGGGCATTTCCTCTTCAGCATAAGGCAGCATGACCTCCTCAAGTATTCTGATGTATTCAAACTGATTCATGATCCCTGGTATGCGATAAATAGGCCCAACACTGTGGTATGAGAAACATCCCCATATCATGATGCTTGCGCAACCATGCTTCTGTCAGGGCTCCAGGTATGACCAGAGGTGTGTGGACTGACACAGGGAAATGCAGGCTTCAGATATAGTATAAACAATATAATTTATTAAGAGTAACAATACAAAACACAGTGCAAAACTAAACAAACAGTGCAAACAAACCAAACCACCCACCGATAACAATACATACAATACAAAGAGTAGTCAGGCAGGCCGGGTCAGTAGCAAATGGGCAAACGGAGTACCAGGAACAGGCGGGAGAGTGGTCGGGGTCACAAGCTGGGTTCAGTAACTCACAGGCAGCGCGGTAAAGAGGGTCGGGCAGAGAATGGTCAGGGTCACAAGCCAGGGATCAAGCAGGAGAAGTCAGCAGAGGTCAGGATCAGGCAAGATCGGCAACAAGTCAGACATGAACAGGAATACAGGATACAAGGTACAGGGGACCATGGAAAAACACACCAAAGCCCTGACTGTGAGTCTGGCCATTCCTTAAATACAACCCCTGCAATCAGCTTCAGGTGTTTGGCTGATTGCAGGGGTGAGTCTCTGATTGCTGAAAGCACCCACTGGTCAGCCCTGTAACTGCAGCCCACAAGGCAGGTGAGTCCCACCATTATTGGCAAGTCCATTCCTGACAGTACCCCCCCCCCTCAAGGAGCGGCCTAAGGATGCTCCAAACAGTCCTAGCTGGGCAAAATGTTCCACCGCCCGGGTCCGGCAACTAGCAGGATATCAAAGACTGGCACATCGGGCTGGGCACCGGACAGAAGCACATCGGGCTGGGCACCGGACAGAGGCACATCGGGCTGGGCACAGGACAGAGGCACATCGGGCTGGGCACCGGACCGAGGCACATCGGGCTGAACACCGGGCCACCAGGCAGGGTGGCAGGCACCGGGCCCCCAGGCGGAGCGGCAGGCACCAGGCCCCCAGGCAGAGCGGCAGGCACCAGGCCCCCAGGCGGAGCGGCAGGCACCGTGCCCCCAGGCGGAGCGGCAGGCACCGTGCCCCCAGGCGGAGCGGCAGGCACCGGGCCCCCAGGCGGAGCGGCAGGCACCGGGCTTCCAGGCAGAGTGGCAGGCACCGGGCCCCCAGGCGGAGCGGCAGGCACCGAGTCATCTGGCAAGACTGCGGGCACCGAGTCATCTGGCAAGACCGCGGGCACCGAGTCATCTGGCAAGACCGCGGGCATCGAGTCACCAGGCACGACAGCGGGCTCCGAGTCAACCGGCACGAATGCGGGCTCTGAGTCATCTGGCTCGACAGCGGGTACCAGGTCATCAGGCATATTAGATCGTCTGGCTCGACAGCGGGAATCAGGTCATCTGGCTCGACAGCGGGCATCGGGTCATCTGGCTCGACAGCGGGTACCAGGTCATCAGGCATTAGATCGTCTGGCTCGACAGCGGGCATCGGGTCATCAGGCACGACAGCGGGCATCGGGTCACCAGGCATGACAGCGGGCACTGGGTCATCAGGCATTGGATCGTCTGGCTCGACAGCGGGCATCGGGTCACCAGGCATCAGGGCATCTGGCTCGACAGCAGGCACCGAGTCATCTGGCAAGACAGCGGGCATCGGGTCATCAGGCATCAGGTCATCTGGCTCGACAGCGGGTACCGGGTCATCTGGTTCGACAGCGGGCATCGGGTCACCAGGTATTGGATCATCTGGCTCGACAGCGGGCATTGGGTCACCAGGCATTGGATTGTCTGGCTCGACAGCAGGTACCGGGTCATCGGGCATTGGATCGTCTGGCTCGACAGCGGGCACCGAGTCACCTGGCATGATAGGATCATTAGGCTGGATCAGTTCATCAGGCTGGGTAGAGACATCAGGCTGGGTAGAGACATCAGGCTGAATTGCCTGGTGCCGAGGCACCAGGCTGAACCACGGAAGGGGGGTTCTCAGACGGCAGGCTGACCAGTTTGGATACTGGCAGGATGGTACTGGTTGGAAAGAATTTTTGCTTTTTTTTTCTAGTTTTAGTTACTGGAGCACTGTAAGTAAACGCAGGTCTGTAATGAATGGAGCAGCTAAAGACAGAGAAGAGCTGGAGGATGGAACAGAGGAGGGAGCAGTTGCTACAGAGGACTTCTTTACAGGGTTAAAGAAAGGATAGGTGCAGCGAGTGGGAGCAGGGGACTGGTATGTGGTAGTTAGCAGAGTATACTGGGCCGTCACTGGGGGTGCTGTCGGAGATGCAGGAAGAGTGCCTTGAGCAGAGGAATGATGTTGCAAGCTGACTGAGGCTGGGTGCAACAAATCTGTCCATGTCTGCAGTTCTGGCTGAACAAAACTCAGCTTACGCATAGCCTGTCTGACCAAAGACTGCACTGCGTTTATGCAATCCATAAGCACATGTGATGGACAAGCTGCATAATGCTCATGGAAGCAATCTAGATCATCCTCCAACAACTATACCAGTGATTCCACTTGATCCACACTAAATGGATGAAAAAAGTCATTCCTGCTTTCAGGGGTACAGGACCGAGCCAACTCAGCACAAACCTGGATCAATGGCTGCACCTCAGAAAACTCTGTGCCCTGATCTACTAGATAATGAGCGATCCTTATACACTCTAGTAGTTGATCCCTGGGATACTCCTTCAGAGTCTGATAAGCATAGTCTTTGTCATCAAACACTAGCAGAGATAAATACACCACCTCATCAAGATCCATCCTTCCCAGCAACAATAAGCCAAGATGGCTTCCCTGTGCAGCCACTTCTGGTCAGGATTGGCCTTGGTGTAATGTCAGGGCTCCAGGTATGACCAGAGGTGTGTGGACTGACACAGGGAAACGCAGGCTTCAGATATAATATAAACAATATAATTTATTAAGACTAACAATACAAAACGCAGTGCAAAACTAAACATAAACACAGTGCAAACAAACCAAACCAAACCACCCACCGATAACAATACATACAATACAAAGAGTAGTCAGGCAGGTCGGGTCAGTAGCAAACGGGCAAACAGAGTACCAGGAACAGGCGGGAGAGTGGTCGGGGTCACAAGCTGGGTTCAGTAACTCAAGGGCAGCGCGGTAAAGAGGGTCGGGCAGAGAATGGTCAGGGTCACAAGCCAGGGATCAAGCAGGAGAAGTCAGCAGAGGTCAGGATCAGGCAAGATTGGCAACAAGTCAGACATGAACAGGAATACAGGATACAAGGTACAGGGGACCATGGAAAAACACACACCAAGGCCCTGACTGTGAGTCTGGCCATTCCTTAAATACAACCCCTGCAATCAGCTTCAGGTGTTTGGCTGATTGCAGGGGTGAGTCTCTGATTGCTGAGAGCACCCGCTGGCCAGCCCTGGTACTTCAGCCCACAAGGCAGGTGAGTCCCACCATTATTGGCAAGTCCATTCCTGACAGCTTCACTGTCTTCACAGTGTACTGTGGCTTGAATTCAGTGTTTGGGGGTTGTCTGACAAACTGTCTCTGGCCACTAGACCCAAAAAGAACAATCTTACTTTCATCAGTCCACAAAATATTGCTCCATTTCTCTTTAGCCCAGTCAATGTGCTCTTTGGCAAATTGTAACCTCTTCAGCACATCTTTTTTTCAACAGTGGGACTTTGCGGGGGCTTCTTGCAGATATCTTGACATCACGTAGGCGTCTAATTGTACAGTACTCACAGGTAATTTTAGACCTTCTTTGATCTTCCTGGAGCTGATTGTTGGCTGAGTCCTTGCCATTTTGGCTATTCTTCTATCCATTTGAATGGTAGTTTTTCACTTTCTTTCACGTTTTGGTTGCCATTTTAAAGCATTTGTGATCATTTTAGCTGAGCAGCCTATCATTTTCTGCACTTCTTTATATGTTTTCCCCTCTCCAATCAACTTTTTAATCAAGGTACGCTGTTCTTCTTAACAATGTCTGGAATGACCCATTTTTCCTCAGAATTTCAGAGAGAAATGCACTGTAACCAGCATTTACAACATTTGCTGCCTTCCTTCCTTAAATAAGGGCAATAATTGCCACCTGTTTTTCAAAGAATGAATGACCTCACTAATAGAACTCCACACTGCTATTATGAACACCCCCCTTTCAAATACTGATTCAGTTACACAGAATCAGCAGCATGCATGTCATGACTGTTGGGTCTGTTTGGATTTCTATTACTCTACTTCACCTGCTAGTAAATTATTTGCCATGTAGAAATATAATTTCTACCAAAAACAGTAATTGATCAGGTTAGTGATGTCTGACTGATGTTATTTTGAACACAATTGTACATATCTTCACTACAGTACTCTGGGATTTACAGTGAAAAAATATTTACTGTATACGTTGATTTTTTTTTTTAAATTAAAAGCATTCTGGATCATGTCCTGTAGACAAAGTGGTCTAGTAAAGTGTTTAAAGACTCAGCACATATTCAGTACAATATTTGGGATGTTTTTCCAGGAGTAAAGGATACTGCAGTGTTGATTTCTAGATTTAAAAAATTACTGTTAGGATCCTATTCAAATTCGGGCTTGAGTACAAATATATCAATCTGGGAACATAGTCACTACTAGAGATGAGCGAATCGAACCAGGCGAAGTGGAATTCGTTTCGAATTTCAGGAAAAATTCGATTCGCGGCGAATCCGAATATTAGCATACTTCGGGTGCGCGAATCAGATTTTTCCCGATCAGCCGGCAAAAGTGTCCCTGCAGAGAGCTCCGCTATTTCTGACAGTTCTCTGACAGTTCCTTCACATGTACAGCGGTTGAAACATTGTATCTATTTGTTTCCATTTAGGATACAGATGTTTTTATTCGGAAACAGATACAATGTTTCAACCGCTGTAAATGTGAAGGAACTGTCAGAGAACTGTCAGAAATAGCGGAGCTCTCTGCAGATACACTTTTTGCTGTACTGGAATACTTCTTCTTTTCATTCTTCTTTTCATTCTTCTCATTCTTCTTTTCATTCTTCTTTTCATTCTTCTTTTCATTCTTCTTCTCATTCTTCTTCTTCTTTTCATTCTTCTTTTCATTCTTCTCATTCTTCTTTTCTTCTTCATGAAAAGAAGAATGAAGAAAAAGAAGAATGAAAGAAGAATGAAAAGAGAATGAAAAAAGAAGAATGATGAAGAATGAAAAGAAGAATGAAAAGAATGAAGAAGAATGAAAAGAAGAATGAAAAGAAAAGAAAAGAAGAAGAGAAGAAGAAGAATGAAAAGAAGAATGAAAAGAAGAATGAAAAGAATAATGAAATGAAGAAGAAGAATGAAAAGAAGAATGAAAAGAAGAATGAAAAGAAGAATGAGAAGAATGAAAAATGAGAAGAATGAAAGAAGAATGAAAAGAAGAGGAAGAAGAAAAGAAGAATGAAAGAAGAATGAGAAGAAGAAAGAAAAGAAGAAGAAGAATGAAAGAAGAATGAGAATGAAAAGAAGAATGAAAAGAAGAAGAAGAATCTTTTCATTCTTCTCATTCCTTCTTTTCTCATTCTTCTTTTCGATTCTTCTTTCATTCTTCCTTCATTCATTCTTCTTCTTTTCATTCTTCTTCTTCTTCATTTCATTCTTCTTCTTCTTTTCATTCTTCTTCATTGTACATTCTTCTTCTTCTTTTCATTCTTCTTTTCATTCTTCTTCACTCTCCATTTTCATTTCTTCTTCTTTTTCATTCTTTTCATTCCTCTTCTTCTTCTTTTCATTACTTCATACGTTCTTCTTTTCATTCTTCTTCATTCTTCTTCTTTTCATTCTTCTTCTTCTTCTTATTTTCATTCTTCTTCTTTTCATTCTTTCTAATCTTCATTCTCTTTCATTCTTCTTCATTCTTCTTTTCATTCTTCTTTTCATTCTTCTTCATTCTTCTTTTCATTCTTCTCATTCTTCTTTTCATTCTTCTATTCTTCATTCTTCTTTTCAGATCTTCTTCTTTTCATTCTTCTTATTCCTTTCTTCATTAGAAGAAGAAGAATGAAAAGAAGAAAGAATGTAAAGAAGAATGTAAAATAAGAATGATAAGAAGAATGAAAAGAAGAATGCAAAGTAAGAGATGTAAGAAGAAGAAGAAGAATGAATTGAA